TTTTCTTAAGGACTATCCAAACGGACCATTAAATGAATTTTACTAGTACATGACTTTCCATATTGGATCAATTTGGCTTCCACAACCCATACTTTAATAACACAAATACCTTACGTAGTACATGTTTGGCATCAACATTACCATCTAACTAGTTTTGAATGTTATGAAAAGGCTACCTAAATGTAACATTTTCAAGATTAATTTACATTGAAAAATCTAGTTAAAAAGTGCTATTCCCAAATAGAGACTTATATACAATGTGTATATATATGATCTCTTTAGAGAAATATGGCATGAAAGGGAAGAAATGTTACACCAAAAGAGTACATACATAATATGATCATCATTATATGTTTTGTTTGCAATGTGAACCAAATCAAGTCCAACCCCGTTTGTAACGGCGAAATACCTCTTCGGTTTGGGCATTTTTGTAGGCACTACAAGCAATGACATAAACAAATATCAGAACCACGACAGCGACAATCAAGATCATGTTGGCTTTCCTCCATTCTTGTCTGAGGTTTCCTAGAAGCCCGGCCTTGCAAGAATCGCAGTTGTAACACAGTTGGGTCGGGTCGTTGTTCCAGGCCGAGCAGTCCGGGTTGGATGCGGCATTGGTCGGATTGATCCACGCCGTTGCAGTCACGTATTGGTACCCACACGTGCTTGGGGGCTTGCAACAACCTGACTGCATATATCAAGAATAATATATTTAATTTCAATCTTACACGTTTCATCCAATATATTGATTGCTAACATTACTCCCCTTGTCCTTAATTAACGATTTTAAAATGTCATCAAATAAGTCATTCAAATGAGTTTCTCACTTATTCATGTCAACAATGCAAATGCCATCATTTCTAGCATAGACAATTCATTATAATCTCTATATTGAATATGGAATTTGCACGATTAGTTCCCAAGGTCAGTCCTAGGTGTGGGAGATGTGCACCCGCATGTAGGGTTCGATATTTTTAGAGGCTCAACTTTCTGATTCTGACATTTTTAAATGTATACATATAGGGAATATAATTTAATAGTCAAAGTTTTCCATCAATGATCATGAAAAGTCAAATTTGGTACAAATATGTAACCCAAAACGTGCATTTCAAACAAATTCCACTCTTTCTCGATGGATTCATGATTTTGTTACCAAAGAGCTTAACCATTTTCCTACTTAATCCCATCCAATTAGGTTACCGTTCTACAAAGATTACTACGTATTTAACTGCAATATTTAAATTTAACATTTTCAAAATTTTGTACCATTAAAAAAACGTCCAAAATCCTAGCACTAGTTGAAAACAATATTCCCAAGAAAGGTCTTACTCTTTTTTCCTTTTTTAAAAATAATCTGCACCCATTGACGGCCGGAGGGTGTGCAAGCCTGCAAGGTGTGCCATCGGCCCATCGCACAAGGCCCCTAAATTTTAGGTCCAATATTGTTAGATGTTCATTATTCTAATTACTTAATATTTTTAAATTTAAAATAAATTTATATTTCAATGCTCAAATTGTTATAAAAGTACGGAGTAGTTATTAAAAATTGATATAATTTATAATGGGGTAGGGATCATTGGATTTGGCCTTAAAACATTTGGTTTGAACCACATTAAAAAATCGATTACTTAGTTCAACTCAAAAACTTAAATACCGCTTATTTTCTTCTCACTTTCCTGATGTGGATACACTCTAATTCTTCCCCTCAAGTAGACAATCAAGTTATTTTGAATTTAACTGGTTGACCAGTTGCAAATAGATTCTCATCCCCTTGATTTTTTTAGCGCCAACACCTAAAGGACCACGAGCCACTGGGTATGGACTTTCAAACAACCAATCAGGCGAGCCACATACCGTCGGGTGCATACTCCATACGGATAACTAGTTAAAGACTAACGAGCCACTATGAATTAACTTCTAGACGGACACCTTGACAAATAAGGTGGACCAAAATTTGCTCCAATACCATGATAGAATTTAGGATAGAGAAAAGGATCGCTGGATTGGGCCATAAGACAATTGAATTGAACCACATTAAAAGATTGAATCCAACTGATTACTCAGTTCAACTCAAGAGCTTATATATCAATTATTATCTTTACAAATTGTGATGTAGGACATTCTTAAACACTCCCCCTTAAGTGGACGACCGGGTTATGTTGAATCTTACCGGTTGACCACTTGCAAATACATTTCCACCCCCTTGATTTTTTTAGCATCAACTCCTAAAGAACCACGGGCCACTCGATATGGACTTCCGGACGAGTAATCGGGTTAAACGGGCCTCAGGCAGTATAGTATGGTACATACTTCATACGGATAATTAGGCTAAAGACTAACGGGCCGCTAGGAATGAACGTCTAGACGGATACCTTGACAAATGAGATTAACCAAAACCTACTAGGGGTGGGTTCGGTTTTGACGGTTCGGTTTTAACCCAAAACCAAAGACAAAACGGAAGATAAATTGGCGGTTCGGTTCGGTTCGGTTTTGCATAAAAAATATGTAAACCGTTGGTTATTCGGTTCGGTTTTATACGGTTTTTATTTCGGTTTTTTTCGGTTTCTTCGGTTTATAAAAATAGAAATTTATAAGCATTAAAAATTGAAAAAACACTAACTCGATGAGACAATAACAATACGTAGTGTTAGTTTAGGTTTTTTTGTTTGATTTTTACACAAAAACAAAAACCAAACTGAAGGTTATTGTTCCCTTTAGTTCAATTTTACATAAGAAATATGTGTTGAGTGCCCCACAAACATTTAGAAGATTCTAAATACTTTCAAAGACATCGTATGTAAAATCAATTACGAAGAATTTATATTTTTTGTATAATACTTTCATTTTCATTATAACATCAAAGAATTTTTTATGTAAATATGTAAATTACGTGTATCAATTTTTAATCTTAATATAATTATATATTAAGATTAGCTATTGGTGTTCATATATATTCTTAAGTTTTTTTAAAGTTTATAATAATATGGTTAGAATGTTTAAGTAATAGATAAGAAAATAATTTTAATCGACTAGTAATTTATTTGCATTTATATTTCTATAATTTTTCTACATATCACATACATTCATATAAATAAAGAGAAGTATCTAAGAAAGTTCGGTTTATTCGGTTCGGTTCGGTTTTTCAAAGTGAAAACCAAAACGGAACCAAACACTAACGGTTCGGTTCGGTTTTTTTACATTCGATTTCGGTTTTTTCGGTTCGGTTTTTTTTCTAGCTCGTTTCGATCGATTTCGGTTCGGTTTGCGGTTTTCGGTTTTTCCAACCCAGCCCTAAAACCTAAATTTAAGATGAAGAAAAGGATCGTTGGATCAAATTTAACACTAATTGTTAAACACAAGTACTCTACAACAAATAAAATAAGACCCAACGCGTGAATGGTGCACAGGATCAATCTCATTTTTCACATTCAAATTATTATCTTCCATTTTTTGTTTTTTTAATTCTATGTCGGTTTTTCAAATATTGAAAATAACTTGCATTCATGATTTAGAGTATAGATCTTTACCTGAAGAGGAGAGAGGTGAGCAGCAAAGAACTGGTCGGCTGTGAAATGCTGATCACTAAGTTTCGGGCAAATTTTCCCAGCAGCCAAACACGCCCTAATTTTCCCCCAATTATCCGCACCGGTGAGATGATTTCTCAGCCAGGAAGAGTACCCGTCCAGCCGGTATTCCGGGTACCCGGGCCCAACGCCGTACGCGCCGCTAGGGCGCGTGACGACAAACGCGAAAACCAGAACAAAGAGAACAAGGACGATGAGCAGGGCCATACAGACAAGGTAGACGCCGAGAAGCCCCTCCTTCTTCCGGTGTGCGCCGCAGAATCCGGCGAGCGAGACGAGCAGGATGGCGGCGCCGATTGCGAGGATCGGCCACCGGAGCCAGTGGATGCACTCGTTTCCGGGCTTCAGCGCCAGCCAGATCCCGGCGGCGGTGATCGGGATGGAGCACATGAAGGCCAGAAAATTGAGGATCGACGTGATGTTGTTGCTCACCGACATGACGGTGCGGCGGCGGAAGCGGCGGTGTTGCGGTGGTTAAGTTGTTCGTAAAAGGAATCGCTAGGACAAGGCGGAAGAAAGCGGCGGAGACATTGCCAACACATAGTGCTCCGATCCACTGCTACTTATAGTAAGGCACTTCTCCTATTGAAATACTCCGGCTAACTGATTAACTGTAGCATATCTTTACTCTTTCTTTGCATATGAAAAAAAAAAGATAAGGAAAGAAAATGAAGAAGAAAAAACAGGGAAAAAGAGGTTTTTTGTTGATAGTTTTTGTTTGTTTACTTTATTGATCATTTTGTGAAATAAAATATTTTTGTCAATTCTTATTTAGTAAATTTTTTATATAGTTTTAAAAATATATTCCGTATAATTTTTATTTTTTTATTCTTATACTAATTTGTAAATCAAATCATTTGAAAAGTCACTTGATTTTACAGTAATTTATAGAATAATAATAATCACATTAAAAATATATCTTTTTGGAGTAATTGATTGGAGAGTAGAAAGAATTTGAAGAAAATAAGAATAGTTAGAAGAAACTAGAAGGTGCTAGAAGGAACTGGAATAATTAGACAACTTTTTTATTAATCACAATCTCACAAAAGCGAGATGGTAGGGGTACACCAAAGGTGTACCCCAAATGCACACCACTTGTTTCTACACTATTCATTTTATTTTGTTTTATTTTTTATTTTTATTTTTTTTGAACTTTACATGCCTTTTTTTGTGGTTATGGAGGGGGTGGGGATATTTGGGGTACACCCTACCCTCACAAAATGATGAATGACAGTTCATTTTAAAACATTTTGGTCTCACAAAAATGATTGCTCTCTGTTGGTGTAATCAACCATTTAGCATTTGTTTAGTTGATTAGTTACATAGTTTGTTAGTTAGTTAGGAAGATATTTATGGTTATTACTGTACTTGTTTTTCATTTTCTATATATAGAAGTTAATCGTGTAATACAAAAGTTGAGCCATTTAATACACTTAATTCCAACACTCTATGTGAATTTGGCGTAAATGATTGCTCTCCCAAAAACTTAAATGTTGCCTTTTAAAACATACTCCGTATTTTGGTGCCAAAAGGATGGAAGGAAAGAGAACGATTGATTTGAACGAGTGAGTGAAAATGGAGGCTTGGGTTCCCCTCTTCAAGATTTTCTTGAACTCTGCAACTCCAGAATCCGACGCCTCTCTGTGGCTGCAACAATCTTTCAACGCCGCCTCTCCCTCCATATCAACAGCTTCCTTCATTTCACTTCTCACCAGCCCAATCGACAACCCTTCTTCTCCCTCGTCTTCCCCGTCCATTCACACCAAAAGGTAGAGCCTTTCTTTTGCTATTTCTTCTCTCTTCCATGTTCTTTGTAATTAAGATACAGAGACTTTTTTTGGACAGGGTCATGTGGATTCGGACGCTGCCCAATGCCGTTCAAGCTCGCGTACTGTCATTTCTTTTATGCGAGAGCAGGAAATTCAGCAAAAGGGAGTTGTGTGATCTTGCAGAGAAGATTCTGAGGGAGGGGAAGGGGCTTGATTTTTGGGTGAAGAAGGCTGCACACCAGCTGTTCGATGTTATGTCTGACTCAAATTGTGAGCTGGGTTCTTCCGGAGAGGGAAAAGTGGAGGATGAATTTGGGTCTCTGCCCGTCTGGCTCGAAGATGCTGTGGGCAAGAACGGTTCAGTGCTCCCGTGGCTGCCTATGTCGCGGAGCGAACTCGTTTCCAGAATGCAGTTCAGCAGTTGTGGCGAAAATGAGGACTTTTCTGTCAGAATAGAGGAAGACGAAGGAGATGATGATTCAGATGAAACAATGTTAGAAGAAGGTGTGGGTTCTTCTGAGGATGACGGCTCTTTAGATCCCGGAGCAGAAAAAATGGCATCTGACCTGAAACAGAAGATACTGAGCATTGAATCTAGATATCAAACAGTGGAAGTAGTCCAAGAAATCCAACAGCTTTCCAAAGGAAAGAACACATTGTCTGTATTGAGTTTGATTGAACCGTGGAAGGCAGATGATGAGACGGTTTCCTTTCTAATTTCTCAAATGGCAAATAACGAGACGGATGATCATCAGCTTGGTTGGCGAAGCCACATTCTCTGCTCATTTGTTCTTCCCAAACTCTTAAATCTCCAAACACCCGCGTCTCGGGTGCTAATGACAGCAGTTGTGGAATACTGCAAGGTTTATGCCAAAGCAGCCGAGCACGCTCTACTGCTTCCACTGGCACTCAAAAATGGAGGCATAAACAATCCCATCTGTGATGTCATCACAAGGATTGTCAAAGAATCCTTGCACCCTGGCCATGTTTCTGCCATCTGTCAGCGGCTTCTGTGGGGCCCGGAAGACGACAACGACACTAAGATAATCTGCCTTCCCTGTCACAGGTCTTTGATTGGGACTGAATTGGTGTGGACAGATTCACTGTTTGTTCTGATGCAAAACGTTCTGAACCACGATGGCATCCGTTTAACCCAAGACTCCGTTGATCGGCTTGTTCATTCGGCTTGCAAGTCTGCACAAAGCTTTTCTCAGTCTTTGAAGTTCTGCAACTTCTTGTTGTGCTTTGTCAACAAATGTGCCCCTCTGTTGAAGACCCATAAAATGGCATTGGCTGATGCTGTTGGCCATACCAACACACTTGCGACCAAATCTGTGCTATCAAAGTTGTCTGGCCTGTGAGTGCTGACACCTTATATTTCTAGTTAAGTGATATAACCATGAGAGTGGATATTGTTATAGGTTGGTTAGTTAGTTCCATCTTAGATCATGACACTAGAAGAAGCCCATCCATCATGAGAGTGTGATTAATGCACTGTCAAATTTGGCACAGAAAGATCATTGATGCAACGTTTTTAAAAGTTCAGGGATCATATGTGCAATTTTCAAAATTCAGGAGGAATCCACACAATTTTTGAAAAGTTCGAGTAAATGGCACAAAAAATTCTTTTTTATTGTCTTCATCCCCAAGAATGAAGTTAATAGTTTGACTTCAGATAAATTAAGAATGGTATTGAAACAGAAAGAATCATGTGACAAATTGAAATATAAACATTTTCTCCACACATGACCTCATTGTGGCATCATGTAGAGCCTTATGTAAAACAACATTAAAAGTTTTGAGTGTGATCTAAATGTATTGTACGTAATTTGTATATGAATATTTGTGGATGAATTTGAAGTCATAACTTTTTAGAAGTCTGTGAACTATAAACAGAATATTTTTTTCATTTCTTTAAATACATAAACAATTATATGCATGATATTAATGAAAAATATTTATAGAAAATTATTCATTTTCATAATTGGCATGTTGTTGAACTATATTCATTAATATTTCTTTTGTTGAACATGTATTTGAAAAATCATCTCATTGAAAAACTTCTTAAAAAGAGTTCGAGAGGTATCGTTCAAAAATAAATGTAAGGCAGTGATAAAATATTTTTCAATTTGATGAACTGGAGTATATTAAAAAATGTTTGATAATAATACAAATTATTTTATAATTTCTTAACTTTTTAATTTTGCTATTTCTATATTTATTTATGACACTACAACCTAAAAGTCGAAATTTAGATCCTACTCCCTCCATCCCGTTTTAAATCGCCTGTTTTAACTTTTGGGCATATTTAAGGAAAAGAAAAAATAGAGTTGATTTTCCGAAATTGTCATTACTTTTTAGGATGTATGACGATGGATGAGAAGATAAGGTGGAGAAGAGTGACTTATTTTAGGGGTAGTTGAGATATTTTACTCCTAAAAATTTACGATAACAAGTAACAGACAACATATTTTGGAACGGAGAAAAAAGACAAACATGCAATTTAAAATGGGACAGAGGGAGTACATATTAAAGCCCAAATGTTTTTAAAGATCTTTCACTCTCTAAAAATTAATCTATTAATTCCTCATGCTTCTTGAAGGACCGAACTTCTGTGAGTGGCCCATGAGAATAACGTTGGTCCTTCCATTGCTGGTAAGGCAACAGATATTAAAAAGTCACACTGATTCTCCACAATTGTGCTAAAATATAACCAGAAAATTACTCGCGGGTGAGACAAGTTTTGTCGGAATAACTCTCAGGTTCTTTTATTTTCAAGAAAACAACGGAGGTCCTTACATCTTATTGTAATAACTGGGGAGACATTTCATCCAATATTTCATCCATAAACGTTAATAAAGGTATTTTTTCCTATTTTTTCCTTAATGCTTTATGGTAATAACTCTTAGGTCGCTCCTTTTTTATTTCTTTATTTTTCTTTTTTTTTGTTACTCTTTTTTAAAGTGTTTTTTAGAATTTCTTCTAAAAAATTGTATACAAATTTAAAATTCTTTGTATGATATAAAAATAAATGAAATAAAAAATTTTCTAAAAAAGAAAAAACCGAGTAATGGCAAAATAAGAAAAAATGGTAATGGCAAAATAGGAAAAATGCATTTATTAACGCTTATGGATAAAGTATTGGATGAAATGTCCCCTCTAGGTCATTACAACAAAATGTAAGGACTTTTGTTGTCTTCTTGAGAATCGAGGGACCTGAGAGTTATTTTGACAAAACTCGCGTCACCCTTAAGTAATTTTTTTGAAAAATACTCCGTAACTATGTTAAGTATATGACATTTCGGTGGGGTTCTACTGACACCGGAGTACGGTGACCATCCAGTGCCACTGTCATTTTGGGGCACTTCCGGTGCTTCGTTCGTAAAATTGACTATTCCTACCCCCTCTAACCCACCACCTAAACCCCCCACCCNTGGCTATTACATGTTCCCAAACAAGGTCTTCATTTAAGAGACATCTTTACACTGATAGTCGTTTGTGTGATCTTTTATCATTTTGGTTTTAAATTGAAGGCAAAGAGTGTAATTTTATATCGGCCTTACATGTTCCTCATTGTAGTCAGAGAGAGATGTTGCTCCAAATTCCGATAGAGTCATCGCTATTGCAACCATAGTCCGCAACTGTCGTCTCTGGCCATAATCTAAGTCAGTAGCCATGGTTGTTGTTGTGTTGTTTATCAAGCCGACACCAAAAACATGACCAGACTTATGTTTTGATGTCAAAATATACTATTAGCTCTCAATTTATCATTAACAGGATAAAAGATAAACAAGAAACCATCTATAAAAAGATATCCATAAACCAAAGATTTCAACTCGAAATACTAAGGAGCAAAAAATAATAAAATATTCACACCTCACTTCACTTGGACGGTTGTTTCATAAATGTATTTAGTTGGGCTCTTCTCTATTACAATTGAAATAAAATCTCAGACCACCAGCCCAATAAGAAAGCAACCCTTTTACTCAAACCCTAATACATAAATTTCCCACCCTTCTTCAATCGCTCATTCCCAGTCGCCTCCCTCTGCGTTCTTCTCCTTCTTCCGCCTTCACCCGAAAAGAAGAAAATGGTGAATCTCGTCGACGACTGATAGAATCGTTTCCTTTTATTCTTCAACGGATTTGCTAACATTTTGCTTGCTCGAATCTGTTGATGATTTGCAGGTTCTCCCGAACGATACCGATTTGTTGCACCCTTCGCCGGAGGCGGAGAAGAGGAAGCACAAGCTCAAGCGCCTCGTCCAGTCTCCCAACTCGTTTTTCATGGTTTGTTCTTCCCGATTCAACGATTAATGATTATTTCTCCGTAGTCCTAATCGAATAATTTTTCATTTTGTTGAAATCTTATTTGCTTTGATCTGATGTGAATTTTTATTTTGGTTATTGTGGTTTTGATGTAGGATGTGAAGTGTCAAGGCTGCTTCAGCATGTACGCATTATTTTTTTTCTTAAATTTGATCACTCTTATGGTTTCTTTGGGAGTTTGTCTATCACTATCTTGTGTTATACTGTTTTATTTGAGGTTTTGATTTTCATTATTTCATGTGTTAATGCTTGATTTTTAACCCTAAATTTCATAATGTTGCCATTGCCATAATTTCATGAAATAGATAAATTTATAGAGTCCCGATCAATCGAAAACCAAAATTTTCCCATTTGGGAATTTGAGAAAGAAATGCCCCAAAAATTGTTGTCAAACATTTGAAATTCCACCAAACCATGCTGTTGAGCTTTCAAAATAGTTGTCTCAGGTAGTGTTTGGGAACTATCATTTCATTTCAATTCCAAAATATGAAATCTTGAATTTCAAATGTCAAGGGAAAGCATATGGATTTGCAATTATGCTTTGTAATGAATTTGATGAATTTGCCTCATATCCATTTTTTTAAGATTCCCATACATGGAAGTTTAACAAATTTGGGTTTAAATCCAAATTCTTGTTCCCAAACATGCCGTTAATGTTTTGTAATTCTTACTTCCTCTATTACAAAATTAACATCAACATTTGACCCTTTTGGTCACTTTGACCACAAATTGTGAAGAAAATACTTGGTTATATTTTAAATTTAATGTTATTAATTATTGGGTTCATTTGAATTTTGGCATATCAAAGTTTTACAAAAGTTATTTATTTAAAATAATACTACCATATTTGATTATTGGTTAGAGAGGCCACAAAATTCAAAAAAACCAATACTATAACATTGAGCAGTGGGAGAATAAACGACAAGTTTGGTTGCGCTTTATGAGAGTAAACTATCCCACGAACGAAACCTAAAAGTGCAGGCAATTCAGATATTTGGTTGTGCTTTATGACGTGTTGTTTCCGACAAGAAACATCTAATGCTTGTTGGATATGTGCAGAACCACTGTGTTTAGCCACTCTCACACAGTGGTGGTGTGTGGGAACTGCCAGATGGTGTTGTGCCAACCGACCGGCGGCCGTGCTAGGCTCAGCGAGGGCTGTGCTTTCAGGAGAAAGGGGGATTGACTGACCAGTTGAGAGTTGCAATGAGGTTAATTGTATTGTTTTGTCTGCAGTTTTCATCAGTATTGTGTCTGATATTTAATACTATGTAGTTTTGTCCTAAGAACTCATCCATGTCTCAGATTTACTTGCTGTGTTTGGGTCATGTTTTTTGGGTTACTTATTTATACATTATTGAATTTGAGTTTAAGTTTGAGTTGATGCACATTTTGAGTCCCTTTTTGTAATTTTCTACTCCGTGATAATATACATCGTACCACTCTAGGACGATTTGGATTGGTAGAGAGCTTGGTTCATGGGTAAAACATCTTAGGTTGAGAAATCCACTCAATAGTATGGTAGTATATCACATTGACTCATTGAGATTGTCATTAAAACTAGCTAAATCTTGTGCCCGTGCGTTTCTCGGAATGAAAATATAATTTAAATATACATGCAATATTTGTAATAATTAAAGTTTATTCCAAGGAATAGGGCTAATTCTTTACTATTGTAGATTGTTAGAAAAGACAAGTATTTTGGAGTAGGTTATCGTTCATGAAGCACGAATTGCATTACAAACAAATACTCCACAATAAAAAAGTATGTGTTCTAAATTTTTAAAAATTTCTTTATAAATAATATTATTAGAGCATTTTTTAGGGAAAATTCTTGAGATAGGAGTAAAAAATAATGAAAATATTAAAATAAGATTTACTCTTTTAGGATTAAAATAAGAGTTCATTTTGTCAAGTTCAAGACATTGTTATATTGTAATTGTCACACAATCAGGGTGTTGCTGATTGTAGACGGTTGACTGATCGCGCTGACATACTACTCCGCCATAACTTTTTATCACATTACCAACGTGTATTCTTATTCTATTATACTACTAATTTGGTCTTAAAAGACAGTACTCAATTACTCATATTTTTGGTATTTTCAAATCTATTTTTACTCCCATCGAGGGAGATTTCTTAATTTTTAATCTAAAGTTCTTAATAAATTTTTTCACTTAGAAAAGATGATGTGAAGCAGATGTGGAGTATCAGTTGCTTCATTTTTTCAAACAAAAAAATTGCTTAATAGAGCAACTGCATCATAGCTACAAAGTCGCCCAAGGCAACCTATTAAAAATATTCTAAATTAGTGTGATGCAATGGTAGTATATCACATTGAGATTGTTGCTTATTGTTGTACCTAATTTAATTTTGTCTTTTGTGCTTGAGCCCTCATAATCTTTTCTTGGTGGTAGTGTGGTAAGTTTTTTGTGTTGTTTTTTAGCCAAAGTGTTGTGAACCCCTCCATTCTCATCGTATGTACTCACTCCGTCCCAAATTAAATTATATGTTTATTATTCACATGATCAAATTTTATTTACTTTTTTTCCCTATTTTTGTTAGTCATCATATAAAATAATATGATCATGTCACCACTAGTTTTGTAGATCTTTTGATATAGTTTTTAAATATGTAATTTTTATTTTTAAATTCTAAACTATTTTTTATATAAAAAGAATTAAAAATAACTTCATTCAAACATCTAAAGCGAAACAAACTGTTTAAATTGAGACAGTGAGAATACTTTATAACTTTTGACCCAAAACATTGACCTATCTTTGTTCCAAACTAATGTATTCTAATTTGTACTGTTTGATCAAAGTTGTTTTTAATTGAAAATGTTTAGACATTGATGTTGAGTTAACAAGGTTTATATATAAAAAAAGTAAAACTCATTTGGTGGTGTGTTTTATAAGGTCACTTAAAAGTTGTACGTAGAAAAAAAGTTCTACGTATTAGTGAAATTTGTATTAATGAAAAGTTTCTAAGTTATTTCCAAGTTATTTCTAGTATTAATGAAATTTGTAGATTTTATTTATTTTCAAACTCTTTTTTTGCACAAAAAAAGTTCATTTTTTCTGGTTTACATTTAAAAGAACTATCATTATGCTATTATAAATATTTCTAAAACTCTCTTTTTGAAGCGAAAAAGAATTTTTTGCAAACACCCGAGCAATAAAATAGGAACTTTGCTCTCAGTATATCTAAATTTACAAACAATGTAGCAAGTACTCTTTATAGTTTATATCGCCCTTTCCATTTTAGTCTCAGTAATTATATCTTTACATTGGTACTCCTTATGTCCTAAATTTAAATCCCCGTTTTAATTTACGAGGTTTCACTCTAATTTATTTTAATTTAATTTGTTTTATTATAAGTATAAAATTTATAAATAAAATTTATATATTTAAAAATTACTTTAAAATTATATTCGAGTATAGTGCTAGAGATGACATGACAATACTATTTTATCAAATAACTACTGTATTAAGAAAAAAAGTGATTAATATGAATATCTACAATGCAGATGGTTTTAGACTTTTAGAACACATGAAATAAAAAATAAAAAAATATAACGTACTTATTCCCTCTGTCTCAAATTAAATTATCGCTTTACTATTTATAGGGTAAATCTTCATTCACCTTCGCTTTCTATTATCATTAGTCATTTGATGAAAGAATATAATCATGTCATCATTAGTCTTGTAAATTTTTTGATGTATTTTTAAATATATAATTTTTATTTTTTTAATTCTATATCATTTTTTAGAAAAAATGATTTGAATATAATTTATTAACTTTAATCAAACATCGTAAAACGAAACAAAAAATTTAAATTAGGACGGAGGGAATAATAATTATGTAGTCTGCAATTTCTAGTGGGGCTTTATGAACCTCTTCTCTTTGATGTGGTGGCTGCAACATGGCAGATAGTGCCCACAATTACACATGGCCTTTTGTTATAACTTTTCCACCAGACCACATGATGTAAAATAGCACAAAACCTAACATGGTCTCGGGTCAATCCGAGTTTTTCCGGGTCAATCTGATTTTTCTCGAGTTTTTTTGGATTTAGGGGGTCACATCGGACCGGTTGTGTGTTAAGGTCGCAGTTCGACTAGTCAGACCGCCCGGTCCGGTTCATGTTTAATAACACCGATCTTTTCGGGGGGGCAAAGGGAGTACAATAGTTTAATGTTCACAAAAAATCAAAACTTAACAAATATGCCCGGTCCGGTTCATGTTTAATATCTATGGCCCAACCGCCCAGCGACGATTCTTGATCTGCCAATAGGGCTTCTTGATTCACAAAAATGTCCCACGAACCAATATCAAAAAATAGAATACATAGCATGCTGAAAATAAAAATTGTCAATCCGGTAGATTGAAGATCCACGAGTTGTAGCAATTAAATGAAATGCTCCATGGATTGGCATCATGCCAATGTCGCACTTGCTTTTCGTGTCAGGGCAAATCTTTGGGGTTAAAACACTTTATCAAAAACAACAGACAGAAGAACTTTACTTCTACCTAGAATAGAGCAGGCTCAAACACAAACGATAAATTAAAGTCAAGTGATAATGCTCAGAATGATCTCAGACCTCCTAGGACTGGAGTGAAGATTTCAAAAACATTTCATGGCAAAGTATGAAGAGGTTCAAAATATGTGTTAACTTAAACTGGAACTCAAATTTAAAAATGTACTCCATATAAGTTAACAAAAAGCATGACCCAACAGAGTTGAGCAAATAATTTAAGACATGGAAAAGGTCTTGATACGAACTACAAACCGAATTTCAAACGTACCAATGAAACTACAAACAAAAAAAAACAGAGACAATTACTCCATTGAACCTCTCAACTAATCAATCGCCCTTTCTCCTGAAAGCACAACCCTCGCTGAGCCTGGCACGACCACCGGTCGGCTGGCACAACACCATCTGGCAGTTCCCACACACCACCACTGTGTGAGAGTGGCTAAAAACAGTGGTTCTGCACATATCCACCAAGCATTAGATGTTTCTTGTTGGAACACAACAAATCATAAAGCACAGACATCTAAATAACATACATTTTAGGGTTTGTGGGACAATTCATGATAACGTACTGTTTATAATAATCAGAAAAAAAAAATCTTTGGGAGGCTCAACCGTATGGTTTGGTGTGTTTCCAAAGACTTTAATGGGATGCTTAGGAATCTTAAAAATTTAGATTTGATTTGAGCCAAATTCCTCTACAACATGTTTGGAAACTAGGACTGAATTTCAAATCAGGATTTTGTTCAAATCTCTTGTTTGGGAAGTCTTAAAGTTTTGATTATAAATCCTTATACCTCCCGTGTCATTAGAAATTCCAAAGTTCAAAACTTGGAATTAAAATGCAAGAAATGAAATGAAATGTTAATTCCCAAACACTACCCTAATTCATAACAAAGCCTAATTACAAATCCATAAAAAAGCTAGTTCACAAAACACTATCTTCACTTAATTTTTTTGGGATATTTCTTTCTTAGCAATGCAAGTTGGTAAATTTTGGGTTTTGATTGATCGGCTTTCCGCTGGATTAAGGTGCTTATTAATATTATGAAAATCGTAATTTCAAAAAAAGGAAAGCTTTGTTGTTGTTGTTGTATAACCAATGTAAAACACAGTAGAACACAATATCAGAAATAATAAAATAATGAAAATCACAACTCAAGTAACACAAGAGTAAATCAACATAGTGATAAACAATATCCGAAAAAAACAATAAAAGATGTCAGATTTAAGAGGCAAAAAAAAATGCGTACATGTTGAAGCAGCCTTGACACTTGACATCCTACATCAAAACACCAATCACCAAAAAAAACTCTCATCAGATCAAAGCAAATAAGATTTCACCAAATTGAGATATCATCCGATTTGAACTACGGAGAAATAATCGTTGAATCAAGAACAAACATACCATGAAGAAAGAGTTGGGAGACTGGACAAGGCGCTTGAGCTTGTGCTTCCTCTTCTCCGCCTCCGGAGAAGGGTACAACAAATCGCAATCGTTCGAGAGAACCTGCAAATCATTCGCGCAAACAGAAAGTGAGCAAAAACGATAATGAATATATCATTACGAAGGAGAAAATCTCGATATCAATCGATCATGAAACAAGAGATTCACCATTTTTTTGGGGAGAAGATCGCCGGGAAATGAATCTCCAGAAGAGAGCGGCCACTCGAAGGTTGAAGAAGGATCTGTGACAGGAAGGGTTTGATTATATAGGTATGATCTTAGGAAACAGGGTCCAATTTTCTTTCGAATGGGCCAGCGGTGTAAAATGGCCCAATTTTAGTTCTGATTTTAATTTTATTTGAATTTGAATGGACCTATAATGTTAATAATATTACTCCATCTATCGATTCTATCCCAATTTTATTATTTACATGTTCACGTTTAGTAGTCTACCTTTCTCAAAAAAAAAAAAATTCCTTTTCTTTTTTTAATTGCATAAAATCCTTCCCTTTTTTTTTAAATAAAAAATCACTTTTACTCCTATGAATTTTTAACATACCTATCACATCATACCATTTTACTAATAATCAATTTATCACATTCTACTTTTATTGATTACATCAAAGTATTTTTCTAAAGCCAACACAAAATATCCCTCTCTTGAATTTCCTAAATTTCAAAATTGGAATATATTTATGGGACGAAGAAAACATTTTGGTTCATGTAGTTTTTAAATATGTAAATTTCATACCAATTTTCAACTAAGTCAAGTTGAAAATAATTCCAATAAAATCTCATATACAAGAATAAGTAAATTAAATTGGAACTGAGATAATCATATATAATATATAAAAATATAACCCTGTATGTAGTATATAATACAATGTCACATTATCAGCATGTCACTCATACTTTGACAATAAGAGTTTTGTTTTACACATATTTCTTAAATTGAACCCAAGTCGATTTATTCAGATATGGTTCTAATTCAATTCAACTGGTGGTTTTCAATAGACCTGTACAAACTCGATTCGATGAGTTCATCCCATCTTAAAAAAGGAGGGAGATACGAACAATTTTATGTACTCATATGCGACCCACGGGCTCGACTCGCAAAATAATATGTGCGAGCTTGAAATTTGGGTTTGGCTCGAATACACACACACACGTGAGTATATATTATATATACAAACAAGTACTTTTTTGTCATGGTAGAGACGATAATTAAACTCGAATCTGACATGTATTTTCAACCAACCCGATCTAAAATTTAAGTGTAAAACCTGATGTGAGAGGTGAAGATTGGTTGATGCTCACTTTGAGTGTCATCCGATGACACAAATGTACTCTAACATACGATATACTCCTTTCGTCCCAATTATTATTATAATTTTTTTCTCTCCTCTATCGATAACTTTTATTTATTTGTATGTTTTCCTTAAACGATTATTTTTAGTATGAAATGATCATAATATGAAATTGAGTATAATTTTTCACCTTTTGGAAAGTTTACCATAATACTCCCTCCTTAAACGATCATTTTTAGTATGGTTTTTAAAGAGTGTTGAAAGATTCAACTTTTTATTTTTAGAAAGAAGTTTGTGGCCTTCACAATTTCTCTATCTTCTGTACTATTTTTAACCACATAATTTTATTTTTTCTAATCTCTATGTTGTCAAGTCATTTTTTTGGGACAAAGGGATTAGCACACTAACATTATTAAATACTTAGTAAATAAATTAGAAAAAACTTCAAGATAATAGTCCTTCTTCACATATACTCCTTTCGTCCGGAAATGTTCTTCTCATTTGACTTTTTACGGTCTCCAAGATTGCACTTTGACCACCAATATCTTTATTTATACATAGATATGTTTTTAAAAAAATTGATGTTTGAAAATTATATTTCAAAAAGAATATATTCATATAAAAGTTATATCGCAATACAATGTATTTTTTCTACGTATCATAGTCAAAGTTTACAAACTTTGACAAAGAAAAGTCAAATGAGAAGAATATTTCCGGACGGAGGGATTATCTTACTTGGAAGTTGGAATTTGTTTGGAAAATATGAAAAGTAATGTTAAAGGCTACTTTTAATCGGATTAAGAGATATCAAAAAGTTGGGTTAGGACAATTTACCGGGGGCACACTTTGAAATTGATTGGGGGAACTTCTTTTGTTCAATCTAAAAGAAGAATACCGGCTGGGAGGGGTCTCTTCTTGGCTGAGAGAGTTTGTTACGAGGTCGGATAATTGGGGAAGGATTAAGACGTGTTTGGTTAAAAGGCATATTTGCTCCAAACTTAACAAAGAGTATTTAACTGCTGATCAGTTCTTTTCTGCTCGTATCTCCCCTCTCCAGGTAACAAACATTAATGATAATAATAATAATTGAATAGCTATATAAATTTAATGTCATCATACTAATTTTGAAATGTAATATTGAAATATCATATTTTTATCATTTACGTGTCTCTATGTGTGTGTGTGTATATATGTATATGTTTGTGTGTGTCTGTGTCTGTGTGTGTGTAGATTTTAGATCAATTGATAATAAGATCTAATGAAATAAAGAAGAATGTATCTCTTGCATTAAATTTAAGATCTAAGGGCTTGAAAAGTTTAAAAAAACTGAAAAAAATTGAAAAAACGCGGTAACAGTATGGTAAATAACTTCAGCTTTACTCCTAGTGTCGAAAATGCACCACCACAATGTCAAATTAAAATGCATTGTAATGACATAAAACTGCATCATTCTCATGATAAGGTCTATTCCGAAGGATCATTTTCACTTGAACCAACCTTATAGGGAGAATTAACGAGTCAAAATTTTTCTTTCATCTGCATCACTTTTAAAGTTCAACCACACATTTCCAAGTTTCTTAAGTTTCATGCTAAATCAAACTATGAGTCTTTTTTTGGATGAGTGTAATATTAATAGTCAAAGTCTTGCATTGGAAATCGTAAAAAAATAAATGAGAAAAAAGATTTGAGACAGAAGAATTTTTTTCTTAATTTGTGGTATAAAAAAATTGTCAAATTGTGACTCTCTTTTTAGAACAAATTTGTAATAAAATGTTGTCAAATTTTGAATATCTTATTAGAACAAAGAGAGTAATTTTTTTGTTGATGCAGTCTGGTTGTTGCAAGCCACCGACTATGAGCGAGTACACCTACGTGAACCCGACACCCTGGGATAGCCCGACCAACGCCACAACGGACCTAGATTGCTATGCCTGGAACAACAACCTCAAACGACTATGCTACGAACGATTGCAATTCATGCAAGGCCGGGTTTCTAGGGGTTCTAAGGAAAATATGGCGCAAAGCGAACTTGATCTTGATAATTTTCATCGTCTTAGTTACGTTCTCATATCGGTCTATATTGTCGCTCACATCGCCTTCAAAGAAGTAGAGTTTG